TTGGAGAATAGGAACGCATACGTGAAGGTTTAAAAACACCAGACAGGTGTGTTGTTGTACCGACAAACGGGGGAAGATCGTTCACGGAGGTGAGTGCCGATTACTGAGAGATAACGGATGTAGGATCAAAGGAAAGTCGTCGTCGTTGAATTGCACTTTCCATCCGTACTCGAATGACAGAAAGAGACCCCGGAGACAATCTCCTCGGGGCTACGGGAGAAACCTCCGTAGGTGGAGGTGGACCTTGACGGTAACTATAGGCCCTACTTTCCTAACCTCGATAACACTTGTGAAAATAGTTGAAGACCTTTCGGAACCAGACGGGACACCCGAGTGTGTTTGACTTGTCTTCCTCTACACTCATGTACGTATCTATACCGTTATCTGAATCGTTTAACAATTGTATTGAAGGACATGCTTCAAGACGTTTACGACTTCCCTTGACAAACCTGATAAAGGACCTTTTCCCACACCAGGTATAGTCAGTGTCGCTAGTGAAATCGTCCTAGGTAGTAATAGACCCAGTCGGTCCTACTTTGCGGTCTTTACTTCACCTTGAGTGTCACCTTAGTGTAACCTAAAGGTCGGAACACTGTATTTAACTAATCAGGTTTCTGAAAGAATTATGAACCGCTGTACGCCTTGAAACACTAGAGTAGTGCGCCTTTTTTTAGTTCTACTAGTAACGTATCATGTCTGTTTTGATTTACTAAGTTAGGGTGGTTGTGTACGTAATTACTCTCGAACATTGTATCCAATGAATGCATTGGGCTCAACAGTCTCATTGTACTTTCACTACTTCACCTGAGTGTACTTTACGTCGAGTTGTGCATAGGACTTTGTACAGATTCGTATTAGAGTAAATGCATGGTAGAGTACTAACCGACCACTAGGCACTGGTAAAAAATTATGATGCAGTCCCTTTATTGTAGCGATTAATCATCCGAACGGCAGATGCTACGTCGCAGTAAGTTAAATATGGTTGAACGAGGCGAATGCGGACATCGTTCTCGGCAGGGCTACTGGACCACTCTGTAGAGTGAATGTCACAATTAGACTCTTGACCTGCATTTATCTACCACGAGTATATTCTGACTAAGGCAGCTGTCATCGTATGACCCGATACGACTTTATAGTTTCAATGACGATCTCGTGCGTGTACCGCTTTAGTGGTTTTGATTTGGTCTTAATTGTCCATCTGGGGACAGACTGTGCCCTGGTTTCGTGATCGTTGCTGACTGTGACCCAGTCTGGCTGTGGATACGGACATGTTGGACTGTTTTACTCGACACTCAGTAGAGCACGTACGGCTAGTCACGTCGCAGTACTACCATTTTGTTACTGATTGGGTCGTACATAGGTCGATGTGGCTCATCAAACTCGTGGTACCTTTGTGTCAACACGGACGTTAGTGGTGACTGAGCGTGTACACTTGGGTCTCGATTAGCGAAGGTGTAGGTCACCCCTCGGCAACGGACGATTGGTGCCGAACGAGAATTGTCCTACCTTCAATACGGTCCTATATTTCGTGAAAAAGAAGGGACCTGAGTTGACGCTTTAGAATACGTGGAATAACGTACTACAACCATAGACACCTTTGGTGCTTACCTCATGTCCTTTACTAAGCCAGGTGACAAGAAGGGTATCTCCTAATGTGTCGCCACATTTACGTGTTACATTTTTCCCCCAACACCCTAAAAAAGTAAATCCCTGACTTTCTTTGGACGGCGGGGTTAGTCTTCAAGTTAGACTGGTAACCTAACTGTCAAAATCTAAATTGG